ATAATATTATTATTATAATGATTATATAATAATTATATAATAAAATTAATGTATAACTTTTTAAAAGTAGTGTTTATTTTTATTTCAAGATTTAATTTTATGATACAAAGTAATAATAATTTAAAATGATTTATTAAATATCACAATAAACTATTTTTTTATGAAAATAATGAAAAGTTAAAATTAGTTAATAGTTAGTTAAAATTTGAAATATTTACTCAATTACTTTAATCCAATTTTCACAAAGAAATATACAAATAAAGAGTTTTTTTGTGTTTACAGAATTAAGAAAAAATTCATGATTATTTGTAATTTTATCAAAATATTGATTAATCTTAGCAAAAAAGAAAAATTAAAAATAAATATTATTTGTTAACTTATAATTATGATATAGTTTAAAGTAATTTAATTATATATATCTAAAATAATTTCATTTTTTATTCTAGGCAATTGCATTACCTCCACTTGCAAGGTGGCCATATCAATATGGCTGGACATTCAGCACGTGGTTTAGGCTAGATCCAATCAACAGTGTAAATATTGAAAGGGAGAAACCTTATCTTTTTTGGTAAGTATGATTTTTTGTTTTATTTAAAATATTGATAAAGTTAGAAGAAAGATTATAATAAATAATTCTGATGAGATTAAATTTATAAGTATAAAATATAATTTATTTAAAGTTAAAATAAATTAACACACAAAAATATAAATACGACTTTTTAACAAAGTTAAAACTTTGTGTCTGTCCTCCTTTTCGCCATTTTCACCATCAGCAATCCTTTAAAAAGTTCACAAAATTACGGAGACAACCTTCCGTTTGAAGCTACTACCTCCGCAACAAAATGTAAAAATAGGTAAAACATCCTCTGGTGTTCTTGCCACATTCACAATAATACATTTTAAGTAAAAATAAATTATATTTTCTATTCTTTAGCAATTTTGTAATGTTATCGCATAGAGATTTGAAAGAAGTTTCATAAATGTTCGACTAAATTTTACTGGCTTATAGAGGGGAAAACCTAAATAAAAAAAGTTGGTCTGTTTGTCATATAAAACTTAATTAGCAAGTTATTAAGCATCAAAGTGTATTGACATCATTTTCATTTATTGAAAATCTAGTTATATAATATACCAGTAATTAAATTTATTTACTGACCATAATTTCTTTATTAAACAGTTCATTTTCCCAAGAATCTGGGGAAATGAACTGTTTAATAAACAATAAACACATCAAATAGTCAGGTACCTGGCTATTTGAATGTGTTTGATAAATAATAATACAGTAGAGCATCGATTATCTGACTCAATTGGGGACTGGGGTTGGTCGGATAACTGAAAAAATGGATAACAGAAAAGTATGGAAAAATACATTATTAGTATAGTGTATTAGTATATCACTATTAACCAGGGCTGTGGAGTCGGAGTCATGGAGTTTTAGTGTTTGAGTTGGAGTTGGATTGGTAAGGAAAAGTCGGAGTTGGAATCGGCAGATTTTTACACGACTCCACAGCCCTGCTATTAACCTATTTCGCGTTGAATTTTCATCAATGTTAAGCCTAACAAAATTTTTTAAAATAATAATCATCGTTATTGTATCGTTAAAAATTATTTTAAAATTATTTTATTGCTGAAAAAACAAACAACCACTCATAATTAGAAAATTAAGCCTCATTTAAATACTGGCCTCCCTTTCATGGTCGACTCAGTGTTGCCAGCTAAAACACAGAAAAATTTAACAAAAATAATATTAAAGTAGCCAAGACATAGCCAAATATTGTAGTGCCACATCACTAGCGGACATTTGAATTTGCTGACTAGAACGCAGTCGGTTAACTGATGTGATGGTTGATCGCGGGTCGGATAATCGATGCTCTACTGTAATTCCATGGCAGTCCAGCATGGATGCTCACAGGGGGCATTTTGAGCACTTTCTATGATTTCACAAGCTTGAATTTAATAAATAAAATTTTTTCAAAATCAGGGATTAAGTAAAAAATGAGTTGATTGGATCTAGCCTAAACTACATGCTGAATGTCCAGCTATATTGATATGGCCACCTTCCAAGTGGTAATGCCTAAAATAAAAAATGAAATTATTTTAGACATATATAATTAAATAAATTACTTTAAATTATATCATAATTATAAGTTAATAAATTATGATTAATACGACAATTTGATTTAGTATACATTACATAGTTATGATTATTACAGAAATGTGGGTAGCCTGAGGTAGGACGAAGTCATACCTCTTTTTGATAGGCAACAGTTTGGTGAGAACCGCCCACTTGTCAGTGGATGGCTTATTTATGGTTGTTCTATACCAAAAAGTCGGGATTCTTTTGTCAGGTCGAATGGAGGAGGTGAGAGGGGTCGTTGGTAAGACGTTGGCGATACTCGAATTAAAGACACCAATTAACAACAAAACAAGGATTTATTTAGACGATAACATTACTAACATAAATACATTGAGCTTATCTCGAGCGGACATGCAGAAGTGGAGGGAAACACGCCGAGAGAGAGTTTACATTAATGGGTATCATACCTCTATGAGGAGGGGATTGGACGGTCGGACGTTTTCTAACCGGATTGGACAAGTTGTCTTGAGGAACGGACAGCAGCGATGAGGATTGGCACAGGGTTTCGGCGATCACGAACAGTGATGACGGACCCCTTTTTCTCGTCGTCGCCCCTCTTTTATACCTTTTGTCACGTTACTGGGTTTTGCCAATTGCCGATTTTTAGGATAAGTTCCTCATGAATCATTTTTCGGGTTCCTGAGAGATAGGAAACGGCTCCATGGGAAGGAAATGTGTATATCCTTTTTCATAAAATTTTGAAAAATGAAGTTTTTCTTTGTTTAACTTTAATAAAGATATTTAATTTAATTTGAGCTTCTTTATTTAATTTTTTTTTATTCGGTCCAACCCTCACAGAAATGATGTCACAACATTTTGATGTTTAATAACTCACTAATTAAGCTTCAGATAAAAAAAACAGTCCTTGACTTTTTTATTCAGGTTTCTCCCTCTGAGTCTGAATTTGGCCAAACATTTCTGAAACATGCTATATATCGGCTTTGGTTTCAGATAGAAGCAATTATTGAACCTAAATAGTTTAAGATGAAGCAGAACTAAAATTTTAGAATAATTTTCATTTTAGAATAGAATTGTAAATAAAATTATTTTTATTTCTTCTATGAATTGTATTATTATTGAAGTAATCATAATTAAATAGAATTATGCCAGAGAGTTAATTTCTGTTTTCATTTGAATGTTGCAATTAAATGTTAAGAACATTTTCAACATTATAAATAGCATATACAAGAATATTTTAGTCAGAATATGCAGAAAAATAGCAATCATTTTTCAGGTGTTTCATTTGTAAGACTAATTTGGATAATTTAGACCCTCTTCTAAAATTTTAATCTAGTATTGGATTTAAATCATCTGAATATTTTTAAAAAGAAATAAAATAAGCATTCTGAAGATTGGTTTTATGATTAAATCCTCTAAAGATGAACTACTATGGTCTATAAGTTCTTATGCTGTAACTGCTGAGTTTCTTCATATTCTGACACCGAAAAAAATCAAGTTTGTTAATTAAAAATTATATACTAAAAAACTGCTATGTCAATAAGTTGGGCTATAACAAGGCTAAATTAATAACTAGATGCTATATAAAGCTGTTTGTTTGTAGGTAGGAGAGCTATGTTGTCATTAATGATAAATTTAATAATTAGAAATAAATTTAATTTTTTGGTAAGTATGATTTTTTTTATGTAGAGTTTAAATGTAGAATATTATGGAAGAAAAGATTGGTCTGGAACAGAAGTCATAACTCCTGCTTACCATGTGGATGTGCTGCCAGTTATGCTACCCAGATTCTTGTTCAATCTCCACTTTCAAAGCTATTAATTACTTAACAAATTTTAGATATAACCATATTAGTCACTCAGTGCTGAATGGAGACAATTTTAGCACTTATGGCTCTCTCTCAGCCAACTTAGGTTTTTACTCATTGTGGTGGGTGTGTGTGTGTATATAATATCATAAACATCAAACTGATTAATTTGATATGGACTGCCAAACAAACTGTCAGTGATTGGCAATTGACTGTAGGTTTATGATTAGACTGTTATGTTATGCACATGATACATGGATAAAAGTATAAGTCAGCTGACAACCAAGGAAGGCCTTGGGCACTAAATTCATCCCTAGTCAATGCTATGAGTATGGTTATATCTAAAATTTGTTAAGTAATTAATAGTTCTGGAAGTGAACATCAGACAAGTCTGGGAGTGTAACTGACAATGCATTTACATGGTAAATAGGAGTTGCAAGTTTGCATTATGTTCTGGATTGATCTTTTCTTTCAGAATATTCAAAATTTAAATTAAAAATTAAATTTATTTTTAATTATTAAATTTATCATTAGATCACAGCCTAACTGCCTTATATATAGCCAAATTGTTTTATATCTAGTCATTAAATTATCCTTGTTATAGCCTGATTTATAAGCCAGCAGTTAATTTGCATTACCAATGGAATTGGGTTCATGATTACATTATTATATAAAAATATTGATATGCAAAAATTAAATGTTTTTTGCATCTTAAAATGTGGATTTTTATTCAATAATGCTAAATGTGATAACATATCATATACAACCTCTAAAAATAAAAATTATTTGTGACAAAAGTTTCTTATATGCTTGCATATGATGCAAGCATATAAGAAGAGTGTTTGTTTGAACAATGCTTGTTTGAGCAATTTATTAATTTGGTCAATAAAAATGTCTTTGATTGGATTGGTGAATTTGTTACAGTTAACTTATTTTTAATTTTAGCTTATCCATTATGTTAATAATAAGAAAATTTTAACAAAAATGCATTATGAATACTATAAAGTAATTTATATACAGTATTCCTTATTATATTGCACGAGTAGGGAGACAAATCAAATGAGCAATATAACTGATGTATTTATCTGATGTATTTATCTATTATTGGTTAAAGCACTTGTATATTTAAATGAATGTTATGACAAGGTGCAATATAATGAAGGAGCTACATATAACTTTTCTTATATCTTTTATATATAATTACATTTAATTACATATCACTGTTTTATTTGTTGATTAAAAGGTCTTTTTTATGATTCTTTTCTAGTTTTCGTACTAGTAAAGGTGTAGGATATTCAGCTCATTTTGTTGGTAATTGTTTAGTATTTACATCCATGAAAGTCAAAGGAAAAGGATATCAGCATTGTGTAAAATATGAATTTCAACCTCGAAAAGTAAGTAAATATATAATTTAGGTTTTTCATAATAATTGTTAATTTGTTACTTATATTTTCTATATTAAAATAGACATTGCAAAATATTTAACTAAGTATAAGATTATTCAAAATGATTTATCCAATTTCAAATGAGGATAATTCTGTACATATCAATCATGAATTAACAAAGCATACACCAAATGAAACAGAAGATTTCTTAGTTTTAAAAGATTGCTTTGTGATAGACAGTGTACAAGAAAATGATGATTGATGCAGCACTAATCACTCTGTAATTGTTAAATGATAACTATATTTTTGAATTTAAAATAAGATGAATCATTTTGAATAATCCTTAATTTTTTTTTTTTTATAATATACATAAATAAAATTTTAACNGAAAACAAAAAAAACAAAAACAAAAAAAACAAACTCTAGCTGGCTTCCAAATCACTCGAGAGACCTCAAAAAATTGTCCAGCCATCTTTGTCTCTCTGCTTTTAAGGGGATTGTCCAGTCCAATCCAGAGCAGGGTCAGTAACTTGCATTCAGGTCTGCCTCAGATGAAATGCCCATAATACGTCCTGCTATGCTGACCCCCTCTGGAAAAACTGAACCGCCTGAGCAAAAGACAAAATCTTTAGGCCAACCATTAGGCCTATACGACATTAGTGTATGTAGTGCCTACATATTTTCAGAAGATTACTAAAATATACCAAAAATTGCTAAATTCCTTATCTGTTGTTGTCCCAATTAAGTGATTAAATTATGTATTAATTTATTAGTTTGGTTTCCGTTCTTTGAGATTCGACCCAATTAACTGGAATTGACTGTATTAAATATTAATTTAATTATAATTAATTAATGTATCGTGTACATGCAAGGAAGAGGAGTCCCCATGGGTAGTCCGGTCTTTGGGAACTTATGCGAGATGGTGATTAGGCTACTCGAAGCTAAGGTCCTCCCACACCACCTGCACAACATCATTTTATATAAGAGATATGTCGACGATATCATCATATTGTGGAAAGAAATACCAGACATCAAGGCTTTTGTCGACACAATGAATGATAACACATATGGATTAACCATAGAAATAGAACAAGTGCATCAGATGAATGTACACTTCCTAGATATTGACATCAAGGTAGAAGAGTCTGTAATCCACACTGCAGTGTACCGAAAGTTAGGAACAAAGGGCATATACATTCCAGTAGGGTCATGTGACCCACCACAATATAAAGTTGCATTATTTAAAGCCCTAATTAAGAGAGCACATATGCACTCTTCTACTGAGCAAGCCCTACAGTCAGAGCTAAGGCTTACACATTGAATAGCCACTGAGCACGGATACAGCAAGCTCATATGCAGGTTAATGCATGGATATCAAAACTTAGCTCAAGACCTACCACAAAGGAGGAACGACAAGATATGGATAAGATCATTCCAGTCAGTTATAATCCATATATTAGAGGGCTATGTGGCAAGATAGCTAAAAAGAACTGCATACGTATCGCCTACAGAAGATGCGCTTTGATATTTAACATCCTAACCAATGGAAAAGATCAACCAGATAAGGATAAGCTGTCAGGGTCTACAGCATACTGATTATAGATCGCAGATGCAATAGACATCTTCTGTATGTGGGTTCCACCAAATGATCCTTAGAGGTTAGACTGAAAGAACACACTGCAGATATTCAGAAACAAAGGAACACGACGGCTCTGGCAATTTATGCTTCCGATCCAAATATAGATACCGAATTTAAAAAAGCCAGAATTATCCACACCACACGGCACATACACGATATCAAATGATTGGAGGCAGCCAGCATATACTTAGCTAACCTTAAGGATAATAAATGCATCAATTATAAAGAAGAGATTACGCTATCAGTAGCGTGGCTAGCACTTATGAACAGTAATTTATGATAGCCGTTTTGGAATCGACTGCGCATGACTAATAATGACGTAAACAGGAAACGTGCATTCGAACATACATATTTTAAAGTTTTATGAGTGGCATTTCCATCAGAGATTCAAAAATACCTGAAGAAGAACCGTCGTTAGGTTCGAAAATGTTAGTAAAGAGTTATTTTTGTTCATTAAAGAGCTATTTTGGTTCGTTATGAGTTAGTAGAAGAAGGAGAATGCACTGGTAACAGGTTAGAAAGAGTTTTTATTAGTATTCTCCGGTGTTGGGATGAAAATGTGTATTATAAAAATAATTTGTGAACTGGATTTCACTATTTGTATTTTTTATAGAAAAGATATTGTCATAGTAGTACAGGAAAGTTTTTTTTTTATAATCTAGAAAAAACTGACAATATTTAGTTACTACATAAACACGTAAAAAGAGTTATTAAACATTGCATTATGATGGATTTACAGATCTGTAACAAATCATTACTTGATAGTTATTATGAAAAACCTTTTTGAGAAATTTTCATATGAGATAATGGCCATATTTTACTATTACAAGTTATTGAATTCAATAATGCATTGTTGAATGTTAACATTTCCATTTATGTTTTATTTGGCAATGATTGAAACAAGAATCTTGCAAGTGATATCAAAGCAAAGAACAACTGACTATAAAATAAAAATTTTGATTAGTCAGATTTAGCTGTTTTATGAGATAACTTTCTAATTTTTGAATCTTTTATCCAATATATACTCAATATATCTGTGAGACCTGAAAGGCCCCTGGGTCTAAATCAGTAATTTTATTAATAATGTTAATATTTTGTTATAAAATATTCTTTCGTTTGGATGAGAAAAATGACGTTTTAGAGTGGGAAAAATAGATAACAGATGTTACTTCCTTTCACAGAAGTTAGTACATCCTCTGTTTTTCCCTTATCTGCAAAAACTCTCGCTTTGATGGGAAATGTTTACCCCTCACATATCCCCCTTTCCATCCGTTCTCATGGAGGTATCTTTGCATGATGATTGGTCGCCAATCGTGACATATAGAGGAAATTTGTCAGAATTCGGGGAGTTCATCGACAGAGCTGGAAGTATCCGAACTCCACATGTTTTCCTCCAGATGACCAACACTCTTAGACGAGTCACATAGAATAATTCCAGAGTTAGCACTTAGAAGTTATACTTTGATTTTGTGCACACATCGATCTCCCATGGAAAGAAGTAAATGAACTTTATCTCCAAAGTGTCCTTTGCCTACAGAGAGGAAGACGAATGACAACTAAAACAGGTTGTATGTTTCTAACGATTTTGTGAGCTCTCTCTCTCGATCGCGAATCGGGTATAGTATAAGTCCATATATCTTTCGACAAGTATCTTGGTTGTGGTAGTTATATCATTTCTTCATTTAATAATTTGTATTAGTTTTTATTTTCTTATGTCTTATTAAATTTATTGACTCTTAATTTGTGTCTGAATCAGATCTCATACGCGTGTTTGTCTGCGGAATTAAATTGACAAACTGGTGTCGGGAACCTGACTTTGGGATAGAGACTTTACAGTCTTCAATCCTCCTTAAGCCTAAATATTACAGCCCTCCCGGTCAAACAAATCTTGACCTAGGATCGGATCTCTCGATTTGAAACTTTGGAGACAGATTTCAGATAATCTGTGCCGATTAAGTGGTACGAACAATCCCTAGTGGAATAGAGTACCCCCGGCTACTCTCACATATCCAAACTGCAATATAGAAATAAGCTGGCTACTAAACTTTTCTAATATTAGAGTTTTTATTTAATTGCACTATTATATTTATTTCTGTTTATAAAATCCTGGTTATCATTTTGAATTTTTGAACAAATGAATACCAGTTTTTCTACAAATGTTAGAAAAACTATTATTAACATTTGTAAAAAAACTGTAAAATTATGTGTAAGAACACTGATTGGGGGGAATTTTATTCCCTACTGTCGGGATGGTCTAAGGTCTACGTATATGTGAGTGGCGGTTTTGAAAGGCAGCAAAAGACAAGTGTTTCACAAAGAAACCGTTTATTTTTGACAAATATGCTTACATAGAATTATCAAGATCCTGGGGTTCAGAGTCCTATGAGTTGTCTTCGGAGGTTTCTTTCCTTTCATTCTGGTCCAACACTGACAGGGCCTTGGGGCGGCAACACTTCAATGTTTGTAATTGGGAGATTCAGCACAAAAAAGATGAATGGACGTACGATAAGCGGAGAGGGAACGAACACCACTGGTAGACCAGAGGAGGCCACCATTTGTCCTTGAAATTGGTGTTTTTATTCTTTTTTTTTTATATTGGCTTTTTGCTAATTGGACAGACATTACATCATCGTCTTCTAATTGGTCTTCCACCTGGCTCCAGGTGTAAATGGAGCTTTGCATAGTTCACGGGAAAGGTCGACTGGAGATGGTTTATCCGACACCATCTTTTCGACCCTGATTGCGCTTAATTGTTGACTATGACACCTACGCTCATTTTGATATTTTTTCTAGTTTTGTGTTATTTTCTAAACTGCATCTTAACTTTTAATATTTTAAATTTTCTTCTTTTGTTTTCTAAAATTTTGTATTTCCTGTTATTCTTTATGAGTGTCGACGTCAAAGTCTGGTGTCGCCAATTTGACACTTACATAATTTGTTTTCTTGACGATTGAACTTAACAAATTTTTTATATATTCTTTCCTTTTGGGGGGGCTATGTCCAGGGCCTCACATATGTACAATCAAAAAGATAAAACCAAAACAGTTATTTTCATAGAATTTCTGATTAGATCCTCTATATCTGGAAATAAAAAATCCAATTCAGTAAGCAGTGACCAATATAAAGCATTAATTTTTGTTCTTAAACATTATTTTTGTATAAATAACAACCAACCTAGTACATTAGAGTTTGTTTGGAAACATTATTTTTGTGATTTGTTCTGTAATATTAAAGTAAATATATTAAAATTTATCCAATTGTAATATATACAATAATAAAGGATTTGAGAAGGAATATAAATTATTTTCTTTTGCAGTGGTATATGGTTGCAATAGTGTATATATATAATCGTTGGAGTAAGAGTGAAATCAAATGTTTTGTAAATGGACAATTGGCTTCTTCTACAGAAATGAGTTGGTTAGTTAATACAAATGATGTAAGTAAATTTTTAAAATATAATATAAATATAAAATAAATTTTAATGTTATTTAATGTTTTTAAATGGCTTCTTCAAACATTGTTTTACAAAGCAATGATATTAAATTAATTATTTTTAAATTTATGATTTAGTTTGAAATCCAGAAAATGATTTTTTAAAGAATTTAAAAATGTTTAAGTAAGCAAAACTGAAATAATAATACATAAAACATATTTATTTCACTTTTAATGAATTTTTCAATTAAATGTTATCATTAATTATTAATAAAATTTTAAAAATGATTAATTTTATTTTATGAAATATTTAATGCCAATTGAAAAATTTTGATTTAATCATTAGTTTAATATTGAAATGTGAAATTATTAATATAGAGAAGGGTGGCTTTAACAGGAATACTACATTAGCTTAAAATTAATTAAATTTATTAATTATTAATATAGGTTAACTGTATTGTGTTACCATACATATATGATGGAAAGTCACTTCATACTTCAACAATATTTATTCATATCTATTTTTCAAATGCATTTCAAGTTAATAGTCTTCATTAGCTAAAACAGATAAGAAAATAAAGATTTAAAAATGTACATTTATACTTTTTATTAAAACTTAACATTAATAACACCAGATAAAAACTGGAACCATTATATTCTGATATATAAAAAAAATGCTTAATTCTGGGAATCAAAGATTTTTTTGAAGAAATGTTCTTATTCTCATTGCAGATCATCGTTAGTTTATATCTGTGTTCAAATAAAGAATGGCAGTTACAAATACGTTGGATCAAACAAGGGTTCAAAATGAAATATGGATTGCTGTATTTCTGTTGAAAAGTTAATGTGTGTTAATAAATTAATAATAAAAGTTAATGATTATACTGAAAATAAATAATAAATATAAGAAACTTTTATGAATAATAGAGAAAAAATCAGTCCATAAGAAAAAATAACAATGGTTTACAATAGTTACACATGTAGAAAATATTGGTGAAACTAGAAGAAAATTAAAGATAAGATTAAGAAACAGCAGNTGATTATACCGAAAATAGATAATAAATATAAGAAACTTTTATGAATAATAGAGAAAAAATCAGTCCATAAGAAAAAATAACAATGGTTTACAATAGTTACACATGTAGAAAATATTGGTGAAACTAGAAGAAAATTAAAGATAAGATTAAGAAACAGCAGAAAAGAACAACAAGAAATAGCTATCATATTAAGTTACATTGTCACTAATTTTTTTAACATGTAAATTAGTTTGTGAAATAATCAGTCCATAAAGATATTAGTGAATGAAGATAATATTATTAAAAGAAAGTTGAAACAATTGAACTTTTTTGAATTTTTCTCTTTTCAATTTGGAAAAAGGATTGGAAGCTTGGGAGAGATATTTGAAAATATTTATTTGTTATTACATGTTAGGCTTCTTTAGCTAATGAGTTAATCATAACTTTTGATTAAAATGATACATTATGCAAAAATTTTTCCCATATAAACAAAGATACCACAGAAAGTTTTTGTAATAGTTTAATATGACAAAGTTTAATAATTGTAAGTAATTTGTCATATTGACAAAATAAAATTGAAAAAAATTAAATATTCTTGCATGTAGTAAAAATTTAATTTAAAAATTTGCATTTATGAAAAAACTATTTAAAGTTTTAATAGTTTTTCATATTGGGTAATTTTATAACAATTTAACTGTAAACAAATATTTTGCATAATTAACTTAATCATATATTAAAAAAAATTTTTAAATAATTTTTTTAAGCTTTTATTGTCATGTTTGAAGCATTGCAACTGTAAATTATAATAAAATACAATACAATAAATGTTTATAACAAGTTTTATTTCAAGAATATTTTGACTTATCTTATGCATATATTAATTAATACAGAAGATAAACAATGTAAAATTATTTGAGATAATATATAAATATAAATGTTTCTATAAAAATTGCTTGACATTATTTTAATAAATGAATGTAGCAATCATTATTAAATATGTAACAGCTTATTTTATATAAAATTTTTTATTAATAAATAAAATTAATTTTTATAAAATATAAGGTAGATTCAGTAAATAAGACAATAAACCAGCTTTATAGTGTAAGGATTTATTCAAATAAAATTATTATTATCTGTAATATTACATAGACAGTTCAAATACACGGCTTGAACTAGCATATCTTTTAACATAATATTTCCTTGTTCAGAACTTTATTAAATATGACTGAGCATCAAACCCAGTATAAAAGAAATTGCTGTTAAGTTCATTTTGCACTAGGAATTTAGTGCTTCCTATACTTGGTCGTTAATTTACCCTTTCAAATGTTTTGCAATGAACAAATAAATCTTATTGTGAGATCAGTAGTATGAGGTGGGTGGTTTAGTATTTCTCATCTGAAGCACATTAAATCTTTAGACATGCAGTCGATTCTGTGCAGAATATTGTGGAGCACACTAGTAATTACTGTGATTCTCTAGCTGAAAAAAATCATCAAGATTATTTTTTTTTATAGTTTTATAAGTTTAAGACTGTTACCTAGATCTTTGCTGATGGAGTTATTTTAAGTTTTTGTGAGACAAAATGAAAGATGTTTTTTGTATCATGGATGATAATCTTAAATTATGGTGTCACATGATGCACTTATGTTTCATATCTATAAGTTATGCAATGCAGAAAATACATGTTTTTTTGTCATAATATCATATACATGAGACAAAATTCCATTCTTGTGAATTTAAGTTCAGGATATTGAAAAAATACTGTGTAGAGTTGTTTCAGTATCCATATACAAAAATCTTGAAACCTGAACAGTGGTACCTCAGGATACAAAATTAATCCGTTCCGAAACTGAGATCATATCATGAAAATGTTGTAAGGTGAATCATTTTTCCCCCATACGATTACATGTATTTCCCCCATACGATTACATGTAAAACCAAATAATTTGTTCCAACACAAAAAACACACTCAAATTAAAGCTAAGTAGTACATAAAAAAAATAACTATAGTAAGGAAAACACTGAAAAATGCATTTTGTAGTTGTAAATGTATAAATAACCAAAATAGAATAATAATTGTTTAAAAAAATGTAGTTTTATTTGCACTTTACCTTTGAGGATAGACGACATTGGAGGTGTAAACTGGTGGCGGAAGAGAGGGAGAAGGGAAGTGATACTAAAACTTATTGTTATATTATGTTATGTAAGTTAACTTAAAAATAACTTAGAAAAGATAAAAAATTTAGTGTTGTTTTATATTTTCTTTTTTTTTTTATTTTTATTCACTGCTTTTTGCTTTCTTTCCTTCACTTCTACCAGCACGTTCACTGGATAGAGGTCGCTTGGTAAAATATCTATCCAGAGGTTTGGCTTTGCCTACTTTTTAAAATGTTTCTAAAATGACTTAGGCAAATGTCATT